TACCATGATTGGTGTCTGGATTTTGCTGCTAAGAACATCTGCAACAGGTATTATTTGACTTTTAGGTACCCAGATCTTCTTGGGTCCTTTGGGGTTAGATGTTCTGTGGTTTTGCCTAAACTTCTGTTTTTCAACATAGTGTTTATTCTGGCTAACCCTTGGCTTAAACACATAAGTACTCTTTTCAGAGCTTGTATGTTTAATATCATTTAGATGACCAAACTTGAAATGAGAATACAGAGGAGTCTTCTTGATGAAGAGTTTATCAACAGACTTTGGATTGCTTCCAGAGGAGGATTCACATCCAATGCCTCTTCTGTTATTCCCACTAACACCATAGATCATAGAAGCCATTTTGCTTCTGTCTATGCTTTTAGTGAGGAATCTTCTAAAACTGGAGTCATATTTTTCTAAAATATTTTCACTTGACTCTGTTTCAGTATCAGATTCTTGTTGAGTTGTTTCTAAATCATTTTTGAGTTTTAAATTTATTTCTTTCTGCTCAACAAGTTCTGTTCTCAGAAGATCAATCTCAGATTCAAGATTGCTTTTCAGCTTCTTGTATTTGAGTTTAATCTTGCTGTAGCTTTCCAACATGTCAGATAAACTTTCAACAAGTTCAGCTCTGGAGAGTTCAGAAAATACCTCTTCAGAGTCAGAGTCTGATTCTGACTCAGATTCAGATGATGACGTTCCTTCATCTTGATCATTTGTGTTGGCCATCAGCGCAACATTTGCACATTCTTCCTCAGATTCAGAAGATGATTCAGATTCATCTGAGTCATCCCATGTAGCCATCAGAACCTTTTTCTTTTTATCAAACTTCCTTTTGGGTTTTTCCTTTTGAAGTTTGGGACATTCACTCTTGTAGTGTCCAGGTTCTTTACATTCAAAGCAAGTGATCTCTTTCTTGCCAGATCTTCTGTGCCCAGAAGATTCTCTCTTTTGATCAGATCTTCTGAAGTTGTTGAACTTTTTCCCTTTGTGCTTCCAGAGTTTGTTGATCCTTCTGGATAGCATAGATAGTTCATCTTCTTCTTCAGAAGAAGATTCCTCAGAGCTTTCTTCATTAACCTGCAAAGCTTTAACAGATTTGTTAGATTTAAAAGCTAAGGATTTACCTTTATCTTTCTTCTGGGGTTCATCTTCCTCCAGCTCAATCTCATGACTTCTCAAAGAACTGATGAGTTCTTCTAATGAGATTTTGTTCAGATCCTTGGCCAGCTTCAATGCAGTCACCATAGGTCTCCATCTGGTAGGAAGACTTCTGATGATCTTCTTGACATGATCAGATGTTGAGTAGCCCTTGTCCAGAACTTTCAACCCAGCTGTTAGAATCTGAAATCTGGAAAACATAGTCTCAATGTTCTCAGATTCTTCCATTTTGAACGCTTCATACTTCTGTATCAGCGCCAGAGCCTTTGTTTCTTTCACCTGAGAATTTCCCTCATGAGTCATTTTGAGAGACTCAAACATATCATGAGCAGTTTCTCTGTTGGTAATCTTCTCGTACTCTGTATGAGAGATTGCATTCAGAAGTATGGTTCTGGCTTTGTGATGATTCTTGAATTCTTTCTTCTGCTCCTCAGTCATTGATTTTCTATCAATCTTTTTGCCATCCTTAGTAGGATGTTCATACCCATCAATGACTAAATCCCAGAGATCAGCATCATACCCCAAGAAAAAACTTTCAAGTCTATCCTTCCAATAATCAAATTTTTCTCCATCAAACATTGGAGGTTTGGTGCTGATTCTGTCTCCTTCATATTTGTTGCTTGATGTAGGAATATCACCCATATTAGCAACCAAATAAATAACAGAGTATTTTTCTCACTGGATCTTTATCTGTCACGGTTAAGCGAATGCACACTCAGAACCGGAGCTCTGATGCCAACTGAAGGTGAGAAAATACTTAGAAGGGGGGGTTGAATAAGTATGACAGAAAATAATCAAAGATAAAAACACAAGTATTTTTATCCTGGTTCGTTGAACTCAACTACTCCAGTCCACCCTTTTCAAGAGTGATTTGCCTTTCTCAACAAGGACTTAATCCACTATTCAAATCAACTGATTACAAATAGCACACCTAAGAACAACTGTTCTTAGTCTTCTCAAGAGCTACTGATCTAACCTAGATCCTCTTAAGGAAAACTTCCTTTACAAATTAATGTAATACAATGAAAGAGTAAGAAATGCTTCTATGAAAGCTATAAACACAACTGTGTTATTTCTCTAAGTTTAGAACAGTGTATGAACAGTGAAGAATATGAGAGCTTGTGAGTTTTTCGCGTCAGAGAAGATTTTCAATATTCGTCTTAATTCGGCACTTGAAGAATGAGCTATGATGTCCTTTATATAGCCACTTGAATATTTGAGAGAATATTTTACCGTTGGAGAAGATATTTCCAATATCAAAATAGTACTGTCCTTTGTACTATTGCAGCAGAGAGACGGCGCACAAAATGTGGGTGTAGCAATTGTCTGCTGAGCTGTGATTATACCATATGTGGAATGTACCAGAGGAATAATATTCTTGCAGAGAATTTTGTCTATCCCAATTAAGGAAAGATTTGCTGGCATATTCCAACGGATATATTAAAATAATCTTCTTCAAATAATTCTTCAGATAGTTCAGATCAACAATCAATATCAGAGTCTTCAGTCTTCAGAATCTTCTGGAAACTTCAGAGCCTAAGATGTTCTTCAGATGTTGATGAATCAGAGTCTGGTGCAGCTGTGTGCTTGAAGCGTAACATGCTCTTAGATCAGAGTCTTCACTCAGATCAGAGTCTTCTCTCATTCAGAGTCTCTTCACTCAGAGTCTTCCTTCATTCAGATTCTTGATAATACATGCAGCGTGTTGTATCTTCAGAATCTTGATAACTAAGCTCTTATACTTCAGATTCTTCTAATCTTCAGATGCTCTTGAGCCATTCAGAATTCATTGTTCACTTCAAATTTGCTCTTTAAGATTAAAATCTTTTGTGCCTGTAGAAAACAGTTTAAAACAAATTTAGAGAGTATAATTCTTGTATACAAATTATCATTAATGTTATCATCAAAACATAGAGGTATTACTAAGACACAATCTGTGCTCTTACAAGGAATCCCTCTCCCCTTCAACGATTTTCAGGGGGGAGTGTTCCAGTGGCTCCACCTGGCGTCTTCACAACTTCACCCTAATACGATAGCGTTCGCGGGAGCGTTTGAACTTGTCTGCGAACACCTTGGTATTATGGCCATGCTCCCCTTGTTCTTTCACACTTTCCACTTACAGTGTCAATCCTTCCAAGGTCGGTATAACTGGGCATCCTTGAAGCAGCCGAGGAAGCTGTTTCGGGCGTACCAGGTTTCTGTCTGCACCTATGTTTTATGTTATAAAGCTCGTATCGCACATGGTCGTCGACTCCTTGTACGACCTTGTGGTCAAAGAGGAAAACAGGAAGCGTGAGGAGACATTGATGTCGAAGTTTCCTCTCGAGTGGATCGAGGGCCACTTCAATAAAGGCACAGACAGCTACATTATGAAGCGCGGTGGACTGGACGCCGACAACCAACTATCTTACAAAAAGATAGTCAAATTTGTCTCCGGGTTCACTTCCGCCAAATGCACCCACAAGGATGGGAGTTTCATCCTCGATGAGTGCGGGGAGGTTCGTCGCGAGGCTCGATTAATTAACACTAAGGCTCTCATCGAGTGTTAATATTTTGTGAGAAGATTGTATTTGAAAGTTGTTACCTCGGTTTGGTGCATACTCTATATATAGAGGGAGAAAAATAATGAACCAACTATTTGATCGCCTTTCTTTGCGGATGATTGTTGGATGTGCTTTTTCTATTGAGATCTTTTAGGATCGTAGAAAAAACTATCTTCCCTTATTGGAAAGATTCATGATAGAATATTCAGGGTATTCCTGGTCGGGGACATTGATCTCCATCACTTTAGGTGGGGAATTGATTGTTTTAGTTAGACATAGAAAATGTCTTTGACAACACCCCTGATTTTAGGTGGGAAATTGATTTCTTTATGCTGGACTTACAAAGCATCTCCGATATCTCCCTTAACTTTCTCAGTACACTAGGAATTGACACCATCAGTCGTGCCACAGATTTCTTGCCGCTATGCTTAGTCATAAAGAAGAGAATATTTCAAAAAAAACATAAATTTTCATTTACTATTGCCAAACTTGTATGTACACAGGAGGTTAAATGATACATGTATAACATTTAATATGATTAGAAAATAGGAACATAATCAGGCGGACCAATATCTATCTGAAGATTCGGTTGAGTTTGAGAAATTATATCTGAACATTTGTCACTAACCAATATCTAAGAGTTAAGAATTGGAAGTTTATATATATATATATTAATATTGATTTAGTTATTATTTTAATGATCTATTTTTTATTTATGAAAGGAGTGAAATATAATTTTAGTTAATTTGCAAATATTTTCAAAGTAATTTGAATTTAATATTAAAATAAAATATATTTTTTAAAGTAAATTAACACACCAAGTGAAAAGGGAATTTCATAGAAAATTATTAAAATGAAATAATTTATTGAAATGGTTCAAAGGGAATTCCACAGACAATTGTTAAAATGAAATAATTTATTGAAATGGTTCAATAATTAATTTGTATTTTATTATTTGTAATGAATAATTTTATAATATATAAAATATAATTAAAAATAAAGCAAATGAGAATTTAGGGGTTTGACACGTGGGTTAGAGATATAAAAAAAGGTTATTATTCCATTAAAAGAAAAAATAGTGGCGGCAGTAATCTCTTTTAAGGGTGTATAAATATATTCCTTTGTAACATAAAATCTACCCTTTAAATTAGTGAATGCCGCCCCTATTTGATTATTATTCTCCTTGATCCATCAACGTGAAATCGTGAATTATTCTCCTTGATCCATCAACGTGAAATCGTGAATATGAAAAGTAACAAGTTGTTTTTTCACAAATCACACTTGTTCCTCAACACGATGAAGATGACGATGAAGAAGAAGAAGAGAACTTGCCTCAAATCTATGAAAAAGAAGAAAAAGAGAACTTGTATCAAATCTGATTTTTACTTACCAGATGATTGTTGGGAGTATGTCTTCTCATTCATCATCAATCCAGTCGACGACATAAAGAAACTCAATTTTAAATCCCTATCTCTCATCTCTAAAAAATTTCTCTCCATCACCAACCGTCTCATATTCTCTATGAAAATTGATCATCTACATATTTCTTATCTCCCTTGTTTCTTCCATAGATTCTCCAGCCTTAATTCCCTTGACCTCTCGTTCGGTTCTTGTTATCTCGACTCCTCCCATGCAGCCACTGCTTTGGCTCTTCGTGACAGATCAACTTTGAAATCTTTATCTATTTCCTGGATTATGCTGATGGATGCAAACCACACTACTTCATATTACATTGTTTCCTTCGTCAGTTTGAAGGGTTTGAATTCTCTTAAGTTTTTGAGTTCACGCATCTCTGGTGATTTGCTTTACTCTATCGCAAGAGAAGCTCTTCCTTTGAAGACTTTTGTTCTTCAAAATTGTACCGGATATAGTTACCAAGGAATTTATGCTTTATTATCCGAGTGTCACTGGATACAACATTTGGATCTTCAAGGGGTTGATTTTATAACCAATCATCAATTTTCTCAATTGTCTTTGCTTCCTGATTTGGTATCTATAAATCTTAGTTACTGTTTCAAACTCACACAATCAACTTTGTTTGCATTCATTAAGAATTGTCATTCATTTGATGAGATCAAGATGCATTATATTGAGAGACAAAGTCTAGAAAATTCCGATACTTTCAAAGATTTTCATGTCAACCCTCCATTAAAGTTTCTAAATTTGTCTCAAAATTCATTTATAAACGATGATATTATCATATTGCTTGCTTCCATTCTTCCCAATTTGCAACTTTTTGATTTGAGTTGTTGCTATCATATATCTTAAAAAAGTATTTGCCAAGTTCTAAGTAAATGTTGTAAGGTTAGACATCTCTACTTGACCGACTGTAAAAATACGAGAGAACCTCAAATCAACTATGTACTTCATTGGCTAGAGACGTTGAACTTGTCATCGCACCGGATTGGAAAAATGATTTTGAACTTATGTGCGACGCGAGCGATTATGCGGTTGGCGCGGTTTTAGGCCAAAGAAAGACAAAAAATTTCCATGCGATACATTATGCAAGCAAAGTTCTCAATGAAGCTCTATTAATTATGTGACAACAGAAAAAGAATTGCTTGCTATAGTGTATGCATTGGAAAAGTTTAGGTCTTATTTGATTGGATCGAAGGTTGTGGTTTACACTGATCATGCGACGATTAAGTATCTGCTCACTAAACCGGACTCCAAGCAACGATTAATTCGTTGGATTCTTTTACTTCAAGAATTTGAATTTGAAATCCGTGATAAAAAGGGGTCCGGAAATTTGGTCGCAGATCACTTATCCCGACTTGTGAATAATGAGGTCACAAAGCATGAAAAAGAGGTGAGGGAGGAATTCCCCGACGAAAAATTGTACATGGTGACCGTTAGACCTTGGTTCGCCGACATGGCTAACCATAAAGCCACCGGATTGATACCGGAGGATCTAACGGGTCACCATAAGAAAAAAAATTTATCCGATGCCAAGTACTTTGTTTGGGAAGAACCACATCTTTTTAAACTTGGTGTCGATAACATTTTGAGGAGATGTGTTTTGGAAGAGGAAACCAAGGACATTCGTTGGCACTGCCACAACTCTCCGTATGGAAGTCATTTTAATAATACAAGAACAGCTACTAAAGTCCTTCAATCGGGATTTTATTGGCCTTCCTTGTTCAAAGATGCGTACACGCACACTAAAAGTTATGACAAGTGCCAAAGAGTTGGTGGAATAACACAAAAAAATGAAATGCAACTTCAAAATATGATTGAGGTTGAAGTTTTTGATTGTTGGGGCATTGATTTTATGGGTCCATTTCCACCGTCTTTTGGTAACGAATACATTTTGGTTTGCGGTGGACTATGTCTCCAAGTAGGTAGAAGTAATTGCTAGCTCTAAAGCAGACGGGAAAACCGTAATAAATTTTTTAAAGAAAAACATTTTTTCTCGGTTCGGTACCCCAAGAGTGTTACTAAGTGATGGTGGTTCACACTTCTGTAATACTCAGTTAGCCAAGGCTCTGGAGCAATATGGTGTGAGACACAGAGTCACTACACCATTTCATCCACACGCTAACGGTCAAGCGGAGGTGTCGAATTGAGAAATTAAGAAAATTTTGGAAAAAACCGTTTCTATCTCGCGGAAGGATTGGTCAAGTAAGCTTGACGATGCGATGCGTTATGGGCATATCAGACCGCTTTCAAAGCTCCGATTGGTCTCACACCATTCAAAATGGTTTACGGATGAATACTTAATTTACTTCGGTGTCCTTCTTCCAATATCATCTTTTTCAATTCCACATCATCGGGAATACAAATACGACCACGAAATCTCAAAATCCCAAAGTTATCAACCTTGAAATACTCATTCTCATTCATCATCAAATCAACGAACTTCAAATCCAACTTTTGCTTTTCACAAACTAAACTCAAGTCTCTAAAATTCTCCAAAAGTTCCCATTCTCTCATCATCCATACAGACACATGTAACAACTTCCGACTCAAGGCATCGGCCACCACGTTTGCCTTACCCGAATGGCAATTCAAACCAAAATCATAATCCTTCAAAAGCTCTAACCACCTTCTTTGTCTCATGTTCAATTCCTTTTGATCAAATAAATACTTCAAACCCTTGTGATCACTAAGAACTTCAAATCTTGCACCATAAAGATAGTGCCTCCAAATTTTCAAAACAAACACTACAGCCGCTAACTCCAAATCATGCGTAGGATAATTCTTTTCATGCACTCTCAATTGTCTTGAAGCATAAGCCACAACTTTTCCATTTTGCATCAAAACACCACCAAAACCAGTCAAAGAAGCATCACAATAAATCACAAATGGTTCCATTGGATTCGGAAAAATCAAGATTGGTGCCGCCGTCAATCTTCTCTTTAGCTCAATGAAACTCTTTTCACAATCAATATCCCAAATGAAGCCTTCTCCTTTACAAGTCAATTATGTTAACGGAAGTGCCAACTTTGAAAATCCCCCAATAAACCTCCGATGATAACCCGCCAAGCCTAAAAAGCTTCGAATCCCTGTAACTGATCTAGGAGCCTCCCATTGCATCACCACCTCAACTTTTGACGGATCAACACTAATACCACTACCATAAATAACATGTCCAAGAAAACTTACTTCCGACAACCAAAATTCGCATTTCGACAACTTAGCACCCAATTGCTTCTCTTTTAACACAGATAACACAATCCTCAAATGCTCGACATGATCCTCTTCATCCTTCGAATAAACCAAAATATCATCGATGAACACAACCACGAAACAATCCAACTGCTCATGAAAAATACGGTTCATGTATTCCATAAATACACCCGACGTATTAGAAACCCCGAATGGCATCATAGAATACTCATAATGTCCATACCTCATTCTAAAAGCAGTCTTCTGAATATCTTCAGCCTTCACACGAATCTGGTGATATCCTGATCTCAAATCAATCTTGCTAAAAGCACGTGCACCAACCAATTGGTCCATCAAATCATCGATCATGGGAAGCGGATACTTATTCTTGGTAGTCACCTTGTTCAATTGTCAGTAATCCACACAAACCTCATATAACCTTCTTTCTTCTTAACCAACAAAACTAGTGCATCCTACGGCGACACACTCAGATGAATAAACCTCTTCTCAAGCAATCACTCAAGTTGACTCTTCAACTCTTTCAATTCCTATGCCAACATACGATATAGAGCCATCGATATCGGACTAGTTCCAGGAATTAAGTCGACCCCAAACTCCACTTCTCATTCTGGCGGTAAATCCCTTATCTCATCAGGAAAAACTTTCTGAAAATCATAAATAATTGGGACACCACCAACTTCACCACTTCCATTAACACTCAAAGTTGCCACCAACATAAACATTCCAACACCATCCTGCACCCACTCATCAAAACAATCCGTAAGGACTTGGCTTAACTCCAAATAATTCACTACACACACCATCTAAGCTCGCAAGATAAGTTTATTCCAGCCAACATGATCTCGTCCACTATCAACAAGAGACTAAGGGTGATCAGTTCCTCAATTTGTTAATAGATAGCCGACAATCATAATGGGGCATAAACCATCTTTACCAAACTATAATAGCGTTCAACGACATACTGAGCCACCACTCCACACTTGAAGCATCTCGGAGAAGCACAAGCTTCTCCCCCACTTATTTCAATCCCACTCCTGCATATAAGGTTTAGAAAGACAAACGCGTACCGACAATGTTTTCACACACATGTCGCATACAAGGGAATAAACAACATTAGACAACCTGGCCGGATGGACCGACCTGCTCTGATACCACTAATGTAACACCCTTATAAACCCCATGAAAAATATACAAATAATCAGAGTAAGTCATCATGCATTCACAAAAGGGTGTCACACATAACTTTCAAACATCAAAAACACCTGTCATGCTTATTAACACTTTAATAAATAATCATGCTTCTCAAAGTTTCACTTCGCATGTAGCAGCGAATTCATTTTATATCATAATTCTCTTAACAGAATAATCATGTTCATCATATAATTCAACATTTCTTAGGCACTAAGGCCAACATCACAATATTCCAATAAATATAAAAAAAACATAACATATAGTACATAATGTATCTCTAAAATATAAACCAAACGATCCCAGTGTTACATGACCAGAGCATGACTCAACCCAATATAACTAAGTTACTAAATAGCTACACCAACAACGACCACGCAACTACGAGCAGCTCTACTTACGATACCTGCACGATGATAGATAGGACATCATTCTAGCAGAAGGGTGAGAAATATTATCATAATAACAATGCATATTGTAACACCCCACTTCCCAAATTAAATAAAATATAAACATTATAAATAAACATCAGAGTTTTCCCCAAAATAGTGGGATATCACATCACCAAATTTTTATAAAAATACTTTATTAATTATTCTCAAAAATAATACAGCGGAAAACATTATTCCAACATTCTCGGCCATCCGTCAAATTTCGTAAAATCTTTATTATTATAATTCACAAAAAAAAGTGATACGTCACAGGATTACAATAAGTTTGACATAAAACAATTAAAACACCCATATCCCGTGTTACGTATCAGAGCATCCTAGACTCGACTGGCACACCACCATCCAAGCTATCTAAGTACCTGGATTATCTGTACTTCCGGAGAAGCACAGACACAACAACAACCAAGGGGTGAGAAAACATGATCAAAAATATATTGGTAATGTAATACATGTAAACAAGGTAGTAAAACACACCAACACACCAATATTCACCCCAACAACTCCATATAACGAACCTACTGTTCAAATTACAATATAACATATTATAATGCAAATATGCAACTCAACACCATGCATGCGGTACCGACTCATTGGTTCATTCAATCGAACCTGGATAGATCACTTACGCTCCTCCTGAGACATGATCTATCCCCCACCATTCTCCACCAAGGAGTACGGATGAATCACTTACGCTCCTCCTGAGACATGATTCATCCCACCAAAACACCATGATATGCACACACCAATGCATAACTATCATATTTAGGCACACTAAGTGCACACGATCCTCCTGATCATATCATCATACATCAATGCATATATGTGTAGATATATTACACCAACACCATATAAATCAATCGGATAGTAAATAAATTCATACTATAACACCATATATAACCACATCCCAACACCCGGGAACACACGATCCTACTGATCACTACATACATATACGTTAACCAATTGTTCACCAACAATATCAAGGAAAACGAGTACCATCAC